AAGTAGAAAATGCAGCACTTTAACCTTAGCGAACTCATGGTAGCTCTGGCACTCGGGCTTTGTGACAATTCTGGAATCAGAGCAAGATGAGCTATCTGAAATAGTCGAGTTGAAATAGTTAGTCACTTAAATTTGCTCTTGAAATTGCAGACTTTATTGCTCACACTGGCAAAGAAAGGTTGGCTTTTGAAACAAAATTTTGAGAATTTCAATAAATGAGATGATTGCTCTAATGAAGTGTAATAACAGACTCACTTGTACTGCAGACCATCCAAATTGAAAAATCGAAATAAAGAATACAAACCATGCAAAGGGCCACCATTCTGATCCAGTATCGCTACAAACCGGACATTTGTTGAAGATAAACGGAAACGATACCGTAACGCTTATGGTTCCTTAAAACAAAGATTTTTCTTGTTACTGGAATAATAATAACCAAATTTAAGGTTGTAACAATCATTTCAATAAAAGACAAAAAGAGTGGTAGTAAATATCAGAGACAAACAACCGACTTTTCTTTATGTTTTTTGTTAACTTTTTGATAACAGTAAATGACCTCTGTAAAAAATTTTTAATCGTTGTCAATGAAAAGTTTCACCTTGAAGGCACAATTGTTTATACCACATTTCAGATTCAAACTATGCAGACACATTGCAGTCTGGTAAGAAGTAAAGAAGTGTTAGTTTTTAACAACGGATGTGCTAGAAAGTTATTGTTTTAGAACAAAAAATCTTTTCTTTTTTACTTCTTTAAACAATTAAACAAACCAGTTTCATTTTATGCTCTGAAATCTTTTAAACAGCTACAGTAGTTCACCAGAAAATTTGATGTTAACTCTTCAGCCTAATTTTCTCATCGCTATTCTTATTTGAAGATTGACAGTCATTGTAGATGACAATATCTATGCTTCTTTGACGATTTATTCAAAGCGTTGAAAAAATAGAATAAACAGAAAATAGCTCAAAAGAAAGCTGCATTTCAGTGTAATTTAAACTACAGTTTACTTGTGGTTGGTAAACGAAAAAATGAGGAAAAAGAGAAATTTGAATAAAACAAAAGAAATTTTTTTCCTTTTTTTAAAAAAAAAAAAAACAGATAATAAGAAGAGCAATCATTTTTTCATACCAATGACATGCCATGACATTCGTTTACCAATTCGATTTTCAAACCAGGCCGGTAATAGAGAACTGTCGCTGGCAATACCTACCAACGGATTACAGACGGCATCCACAACATAAAAGAAGAAAAATCTAACATTTTCTAGGAGCTTTCTATTGTTTTCAGCTTCGTGCTTATTTTATTTAGATGTACTCAGGTTAACATTGGAATTTTTACTGAATTACTCGTACTTACTACAGAGCAACTTTGCTGAAAGAATAACATTTCTTCCACTAGTACCAAAAATTTTTGCAAGGCAAAAGATAGTGCTGATTATGTGCTAAACGCCGAATGTATTGTCCCGTAAGTATTTGGCGTTTCCTCGAGGTTGATTAAACAAAAATGAGGCTTTCATTATACTGTTTAAACCTTTTGGTTTTGTTCTAATAATCAAAGAAGAAAACTATTTGTCTAATAAAAATAGTGACCAACATGTAAACGACACCACAATACTGTAATAAAATTTTCTATATAGTCACAATTTTAAGTGTTTATTTCTAATCCAAAAAAAATGTCGGGAAAGAGACCTTCAAACAAACAGTTTTTATATCTCTGCTTTTCAATCATCACCTTCCTTTTTTTTTCTGCTGCTTTTTAAAGAACTTTTTTCAAATTTTCAGTAATTATTAACTACTGCATAAGAAATACAAACAAATTGGCTGTAACCACAAATCGAAAATGAAACAGAACAAAATTAGCTACTATTATTGTAAGTTTGCAAAAATAAAAAAAAAAATTTTTTTTTGGCACTAACTTGTCCGATAAGCATCAGTAGACCAGAAATGGAACTTCTAAAACCAAGAACATTCTCCAGAAAGATCATCAGGTAGGTAAACCACATGCTGGCGCAAAGATCATTGTAAAAGTGACCAAAACCGTATCCAATCATTCAAAAATGCGGTATGTCGGTTGTTGGTTTCGGATCCTAAATGTCTTTTTGTACAACTTAATCTATATTCCAAAATTAAGCTTCTTTTTTTTTTTTTGCTTTTTTGTGTTAACTTTTATTTACCAAACAAAAAAATAAAATAGAAACTACATCCCAAAACTATAAATGATCAGAGAAGAGAAAAAAGTTATACGTGAATTAAAAAAATGTATTATCTGTTGAATTTATTATCTAACGAGGATATCTGTTAAATTTATGCGTTGATTGTTTAGCATATCAAACAAATAAATAAACTTTTTCTGTTTTACTTTTTTTTTTTTTAAAATAATAAAACATATGAGTACTTTTTTATGTTTACCATGCCAAACAAAACAAAAAGACAGCATAAACAAAAAAAATAAAACAAAAAAAGTTTATTTATTTGTTTGATATGCTAAACAATCAACGCATAAATTTAACAGATATCCTCATCAGATAATAAATTCAACAGATAATACATTTTTTTTGTTCACGTATAACGTCAGTTAAAAAAATGAAATTTTTTTAGCTTTTGGAAAAATTCAATAAATTCTTAGTTAGGTTTATACTATCCAAAAAAAAATCGGTCACTTAATTTATGTATCTGATTTTTATGTTTTCTCTTTCTAATGGAGGAGAGTACAGAAACGGAAGAGGAACATTGGAGAAGAAGAAGAAAGGTACGGAAGAGGAATGAAGAAGAGCGGAAAATGAATGGTGCTGTTGAAAAAAAGATAGATTTTTTTCCTCATCAATTTTACATATGCAAAAGATAAAAGTAACAAAATTTATTAATAGTATAGTATTTTACTTTTTTTTGTTTAAAATATTGAACGTTTTTATCAATTTTTTTATCAATATTTTCATCAGTTGCAAAAAAAAAAAAAAAGAAAGAAAAAAAAGAGAAAGTCATTTAAAATGCAGAAAAAAAAAAACAATCAAAAAACGATAATGTAATTAAGAATCCATTTCGCTTTTAGTCTTTTAATTCTGAATACAATCTGTTTGATTTGATCACTTATCTGCTGTGCTGTTTAAATTTCTTTTGTTTTTTAGCTAATTTTTTAATTCTTTTTTTTCTTCTTTTTGTACTTAAATATCAGCAAAAAAACAAATTTCTTATAACATAAAATTTGTACAGATTATTAAGTTGTTAACAAGGTAACTGTTATAAGAAGTGTAGGTCAACTATTGTCTAAAGGATACCTATTTCTATTCGTAAGACATACTAAAGATTGATAAATCGATTCAAAATTTGGAAACTTTTTTTTTTTTTTTTGTCTCGGTTAATTGATGACATCATTTTTAGAGCCATATTGTTTTGTCACTGTTGTTATAGATCAGATGAACTGTTGTTAGCAAAATGCGCTGTAGAAGTGTTAGCATTATTAGATGATAAGAAGAAATCGTGTTTTTTTGGTTAGAAAGTGAAGAGGAAGGATATATCTTGTTGACTTCTGGATCACTATCGGTTGATGACTGATCATTTTCAGAAACCACAAATTTGCCACTGCTTTTTGTTTGGAATATACGCATTGTCACTGTGTTTATCAGTCTGTCTGTATCTGTGTACTTCTGTTTACCCGTTGCTTTAGTCGGAATCTGCCATATAATTTTTGGCAAATTTATTATAATACAGACCTTTTGCTGTTCGTCTGTTTGCTGCTTAAAGTTTTTACAGGCTTCTTAGAAAGCAAAATAAGGCGTAAAGAAAAGCAGTAAAAAATACTAGAAGAAAAAAAAGAAGAGGATAAAAAGTTCAAATTTACTTGTTATCGGCTGACATATAACTTGTTCTACTGTTTTCTTTTTTCTTCGTCACAAAGATTCAATGAATTTTTTTTTGTATTATATAATGATTCATAAATATAAAATATTAAAGCAACAAAAAAGCAATGACTTAAAACCATTGTTCTCAATAGGTTTTTATTCGAATATGAATCTCGGTGTTCTATGGCAACAGTTTCTCTTTTCTTTTCTCTTTTAGAAAACATATTTAAGCACTGTTCATTAAATAAAATCGTCTCAAGTTTATAGATCTAATTTTACTGTAAAATTATAGTACTACAAATAAGCCAAAAAAAAAAAAAAAAAAAAAGGAATGTTTGTGCAAAATGACAAAAAACATAAAATTGATTAAAACAAAAAGTCATTTTCTGAACAGATCAGTTTAGGATGAGTTGTTGCTGCTGCTACTTTAAAAGTTGTTTGTTAAAACTGTTGTTAAATTATTAATTAGTAAAATTGTTAAATTCTTATAAAGAAAAAAATTCCTTTTTTTTTGCTGATTGTAAAACATCAAAAAATATCTTGAAAAAAAACGTTAAATAGGTGGAAAAAGTTGGTCAGCAATAAATCAGTTACAAACTGATAACCGTCTATTTGGCAGTTCTATTATTTGGAGAGTTTCTGTAATAGTAATGTCTTTTTTCAAAAGAGAGAAAAAGAATTCTGAAGTTATCGAGTTGATTATAATGTCTTTCTTTTTTTTTTTTTGAATTGAAAGAAAAAAAAAACAAAGAAAAAACTGTTGTAATCACGTTATACAAATTTTTTACAAAGCATCCTCTTTTTAATAGTCTTTTTTTTTTAAAGCTAATTTCTTACAAAAACTGATAACTGTCAATTACTAAAGATATTCAGTATTGATCAGGAAAAAAAGATACAAAAAAACAACTGTAATAGTTGTAGTAAAAGCACCACTAACTGCAGTTAATTGTAAAGTATTGTTAATAAAGTTGATGTCGTAATCAGAAAACAAAACTGTTAATTGAACCAATAACTAAATTTTTAATTGTTGCAATAACTGTTAAAAAGTAGTCTAAAAAATTTTTGATGTTTTTCGATCACTGAATAGAAGCATTAAATTTTTCCATTTGCTAATGAATTTACCAACTATTACTTGCATATCTTAGAAGGTTTATTGCTTTTAACAGTATTACTGATGTCACTGTTGGTATCAAATAGTAATGCTGATAAACAGCTGTTACAATCTGTAAGTCTCAAAGCAAAAAATTATGCTAAGTATTATTGAGCCAAATGCATTAGAAAATTGTACTATAAGTTAAATTTGAGTTCTTTGTTCTGCAAAAATTATAACTAAAAAATCGATTGCCGAAATTGGATGAAGACAAAGAAGAAAAAACCGATAAACAGGGGTGAAAGATTTCAAAAAACTTTCAAAAACAACCCTTTTTCTATATGTTAATTACAGATTGGTATTTTATGTTACTTCCTTTTTTTTACCTTTTTCAACTATTTGTCACTTAGTAATTAAGCAAATAATTAGCTTAATGGTACACCAATTTTATCATTCTATTGTTTACTCCTGCGTTCATTTAGTTCCTACTTCTCTTTTTCACATTTGACTTTCAGTAACATCCAACTGTACGCTTTTATTTTGAAAAACTACAACTGTTTTCTCTTTTTTTTTTTTTTAAATTGTTTTATAATCTGTAAAGCATTTGCAATATTTTAGCAAGAAAGAAAAAAGCCAGAAATATTATAGCAAGAAAAAACCTTACTGGTGTTTTATTTGGTTATGATGATGACTGTGCAATTTTATCAACTTTTTTTTTCCTCTCAATGCTTTCTATTTATAAATTGCTAAATATTCTGATACTGTTTGTTGCTGCCACTTTTCGTTATATTCATTGCAAACATTTTTAATATTCACTTAACTCATAATTAAGCAACAGAAATTTCAGACAGACACAGAAACTCACATACGACTTACAATTTTTTACAAACACTGAAATACAGATATTCACGCAGA